ACGCTCCATCTGTATTTTAAATTCGACCATACTGTGATCGCTCCTTCCGAGAGGATCCCTAACTGTGAGATCATTAATTATTCCTGTCTCATTACACAGGACTAGATCTAGGATAGCTTGCTCCCTCATAGGTTCCATTACATATTGTTCAAGGAAATTATCGCGGATGCATTCTATGAACCCCTCCTCAAGGCTGCCATGACCGACCTGGTTTGACCAATCGATATGTAGATTAACATCCCCCATGATATTTGCTCTACCATTCTTACATGCATTAGCTATTTCTATGTTTATTGCCCGCCCCACCACGATGTCATTATTTGGTGGCCTATAGACCACACATATCAGTGACTTCTTCTCCCTGCTATTCCTAATTTCCACCCAAATGGATTCAATGTTTTGCTCAGTAGAACCTATATCATCTCTCACTACCGCCCTGATATCATCCTTAAAAATCAGAGCAACACCACCTCCCTTACCTTCCTGTCTGTCCTTCCGAACAGTTTGATACCCCTGGATATTTAATTCCCAGTCATGACCATCCTGTAACCATGTCTCTGTAATGGCCACTAAATCATACCCATTTGTCATGATTTGCACCATCAATTCATCCACTTGTTTCGAACGCTCCGAGCATTCAGATAAAGTGCCCTTATGCCAGTTTTTGCACCTTCTTTTTGGTTCCTACTCCCTCCATTACTAACAGCTCTGGAGTTCTTCTTCCCTTTAACTTTTTTCCTAATTTTCAATGGAGTTGAAGCTTCTTCGTCACCTGCTAACCTGCTGCTTTGCCTTACATTAATTGTTATTCTCCCTCTACACTCACTTCTCCCTTCCCCCCTACTTACTAGTTTAAAGTCCTATTAACCACCGTACTTACACTTTTCGCCAGAACACTGGACCCGGCCCTGTTCAGCGGTATAGATCCCTCCTGTCCCAGAACTGATGCCAGTGCCCCATGAAAAGGAAACCCTCTTTCCCACAACACTCTTTTCGCCACGTGTTTACTTCCCTGATCCTCGCCTCCCTATGCCAATTTGCACGTGGCTCAGGCAGCAATCCAGAGATTATGACCCTTGAAGACCAGGTTTTTTAAATTTTGTTCCTAGCTTTTCATAATCCCAAAACAGGTCTTTTTCCCTAGTCCTGCCTATGTTGTTGGTACATACATGGACCAAAACAACTGGATCCTCCTCCTCCCTCTCTAGTATCCTCTCAAGCCAGTCAGAGATGTCTCGCACCCTGGCACCAGGCAGGCAACACACCATGTGGGATTCTCTATCCTGCTCGCAAAGGATACTGTCTATCTCCCTGATGATGGAATCCCCTACAACTACAATCTGTCTTTTTGCTCCGCCCTCTTGAATGGCCTCCTGGACCATGGTGCCATGGTCAGTTGACTCATCCTTCCTGCAGCCCTGTTCCTCATCCACGCAGGGAGCAAGTGCCTCATACCTGTGGGACAATATCAACGGCTGCAGCTCCTGTGTGCAGGGTCCTCCTACCTGCCTCACTCGCAGTCACACGCTGCTGTCCCTGCCCGCCGATCGAGTTAACATTAGTTAATCTACCAGGTGTGACTGCCTCCTGGAACACAGCATCCAGGTATGTCTCCCCATCCTGGATGTGCCGCAGTGTTTGGAGTTCGGATTCCAGCTCATCAATTTTGATCTCAATGGGATCAGCTAGCTCCCACATCATACAGCTACAACACATCACCTGGCCTGCCATCTCTACTTAGTTAATTATTTAAAATTAATTAGTTTTTTTTTTAGTTTCGCAGTGTTCTCTGCACCTGTAAGTTTACTCCGTTATATACCCAAACAGACTCTGGCTTTGCCTTCCGACCCGCTCCCAGAGGATTTGGTGTCTAGGTGACCACCCCGAAAGGTAACAAAGAGATGAGAGGAAAAAAAAATGCAAATAGCTTACCTGCTCACCACACTTAGTCGTTATTATTAGGTTAGAGGAGGTGGAAGGGTGGGAGACTCGGGTATTAGTTAACTCCCAAATTTATTGGGTGGAAGCTTACCTTCCCAGGCTGCCCTCGCGCTTTCTCCCAGACTCCCGCCGCTGAAACAACTCTGGTTTGTCTTGCCAAAATGCAACACCTCACATTTATCTAAACTAAACTCCATTTGTCATTGCTCTGCCCTCTGGCCCAGCTGATCAAGATCCCTTTGTATTCTTAAATAACCTTCCTCCATTGTCCACTATAACACCAATTATGATGTCATCCACAAACTTACTTATCAAGCCTCCTATATTCTCATTCAAATTGTTTATATAAACAGTGGACCCAGCATCAATCCTTGAAGCACACTGCTGGTTACAGGCCTTCTGTCTAAACAACAGACCTCTATCACCACCCTCTGTCTCCTACCTTCAAGCCAATTTTGTATCCAATTGGCTAGCTCACCCTGGATCCCATGTGATGTAACCTTACTAACCAGTCTATCATACGCAATGTCAAAGGCCTTGCTAAAATCCATGTAGACTATATCTACCACTCTGCCATCATCTACTTGGTCACCTCTTCAAAAAACTCAATCAATCAAGTTAGTGAGACACAATGTCCCCACACACAAAGCCATGCTGACTATCCCTAATCAGTCCATGCCTTTCCAAATGCACGTAAATCATGTGTCTCAGAATCCTCTCCAAACAACTTACCCACCACTGACATCAGGTTCACCAGCCTGTAGTTCCCTGGCTTTTTCTTGCAGACTTTCTTAAATAATGGCACAATATTGGGCACCCTCCAGTCTTCCAGCACCTCACCAGTGGGTATCGATGCTACAAGTATCTCTGCTAGGGGGCCCACAATTTCCT